CCCCCCCCCCCCCCTCCCGCCCGCGGGGGCGGCCATGGCACCTCCCGCCGCCCGCCCCCTCCGCGCGCCGCCATCTTGGCGCCTCCTCAGCGCGGGGCCGGAGCGGGCTCTGCCGCCGCGGCGGAGCGAACCAACCGCGGGGGCGGGCGGGGGGGGGAGGGAGGATACACAAGGACCGCACCACCGCGGCGGCGGCGGGGGGGGGAGGGCGGGGGGAGCTCAGCGGGCCGGGGCTGCCGCGGCCGGGCGGTACCACTGCGGGCCGGGGCGCGGGGGGGTGTGTGTGTGTGTGTGTGCGCGCCGGGCCGGGCGGAACCATGCGGAGGCGCTGGTAGGGGGGTGCGGGGAGGGGGTCGGTCGGGTCCGCCATGGCCGCGAACTGCGCGGGGGCCGCGGGGACGGCGGGGGGCGGCGGGGCCGCGCTGGGCTCGGCCCTCAGCGCCAGCAAGACCAAGACCAAGAAGAAGCATTTCGTGTGCCAGAAGGTGAAGCTGTTCCGGGCCTCGGAGCCGCTGCTCAGCGTCCTCATGTGGGGGGCGAACCACACGGTGAGAGCGGGCGGCGCGGGCACCCCTCCCCACCCCACACACACACACACACACTGCCCTCATTCCCCCCTCAGAGCCGGGAACGGGCCCGGCACTGACCCCCGGGAACGGGGCCTCGCCCCCTCACACCCGGCCTTGCCCCTTATCCCCTTCGTCCCCCCCATCTCCCCCTTGTCCCCCTCACACCCGGCCCTGCCCCTTGTCCCCTTCGTCCCCCCCATCTCCCCCTTGTCCCCCTCACACCCGGCCCTGCCCCTCAGCAGGTGCCCAAGCCCCCCCCAGCTCAGACCCTTCCCCTCTCCCTCTCACCCCGGGTCTTTTCCCAGCCCTCCCTCCCTCCCCACACCAGCTTTTGCCCCCCACACCCTCTCTCCCCTTAAATCCCAGCCTTCCCCCCACCCTTTCCATGCCATCCCTGATCCAGCCCCTCCCTGGGGTCTGTTCCCGGTGGTCCCTTTTCTCCTGGGGCTCCTTGCCCGGAGCATCCCCGTCCCCAGGCACTTTGGGGTCAGGGGTCCCTCCCAAAACGTCCCTTTGCCCCCACACACCCCCCCTTGGCACCTTTTCCAGCACCTCTTCCCAGGGCTGGGGAGGGGGAGCGATGCTTTTTCGGGTCCTGTTGCCCTGTCACACCCCCCACTGTGGCACTGGAGGGGACCCTGAGGACAATAATTTGTCACCCACAGCCCTGTCCCCTGTCCCAGCCCCTGCCTTCCCACCCTGTGGCTGTCACAGTGAGGGACCCCCTCGTGTCACAGCCCGGAGGGGACACCCCTGCTCCTCACTTGGGTAATTATGTGTGTTATCTCCATCCCCCAAAAAAAGGGCCTTTTGGCTCCATCTGTCCAGCCTTGTCTCCCTTTGATCCCAGGCTTCAGCTCCCAGGACTCAGGCCATGCCTGTGCTCTTGGCCTCTGTTCCTGTGGGAGCTGGTTTCAGGAGGGAGGTGGGAGAGGGTCCCTTGGGAATGTCTGTGCTGGCTCAGCTCTAATCCACCTCCTTTGGCAACTCCTAAGACCATCTTTATGTTTTCTCTGGAATATTCTGTGATGTCAGGCACAAATTCGTGCTGGAGAGGAGGATTGGTTCCTGGATGTGGGTGCTGGATGCTGTTCTAGGTGGTCAGAGAATCCAGAAGCCTCATCCCTTCCTGAATTAATCCACTTTTAGGGCTCAGACACACCTGTTTCTCCAGTGGATTAGTGGTTGTTTCCTAGAGAGTGAAAGGGATTTGGGCTTAATATTTATTTTTTTTCCCCAGAAAAAAAATAACACAGCAAAAAAAGATCAGACTTGCATTCCTGCCTTGCCTGGCTGGAGTGAAAGCTTCCAAATGTAGTTCAGCACGGAGTCAAAGGATGTTCCAAGTGCTCAAAGCCTTGCCCAGGAAGCAGGATAATGAGTTTAATCAGGCTTTGATCTGTGGTGCCATTAGAAGCCCTGAAGAAATGGAAATTGGTGGGATTCTTTGGAGTTCCATCCCTGGCCTCTTAGGGACAGTTGTTGCTCAGTGGAAATTAGCCTTTTTCAGGGGGTTTTTTGTGTGTTTTGGGTTGGTTTTTTTTTGTTGTAGCTGTCTGGGTAGTCAGAGCCTGGCAGGGATTTGAGGCCCTGGATCAGGACAGTGGAACTTTGGGAGCACTTGGCTGTGAAATATTTGGGCAAAGGGAGGAACCAAGGCGACACTAAGCTTGGTAATGAGATTATATGGGATGTGTATTAGGAAGAAATTGCTGCCAGAAGGAGCCCAGGGTATCCTGAGGGGCTGGGAAAGGGGGTGAGAAAAGTTCAGCTGTGACCTCCTCACCCTTGGATAGGCATCCAGGATTTCCCAGTAAATCCCTCCACCTCTCTGCCACGGTTCTCTGGGCTTGGGTGAGTGTTTGAGTGCCCAAAAAGGGCTGCTGTGCCAGAGCTCTGAGCTGAGGTGGCTCCACTGACTCACCACGAGCAGCTGCTCATCCTGGGCTGTGTCTGGGAGATGATCCTGGTGCCCTGGTTATGTGGGAATTGGAATTCCAGATGGGTTTGGAACCGGGTGGAAATGATTTCAGGGATACCTTTAAACTTTGTTACAAGTCTTCTGGGGGATTGTTCCACGTTTGGCTCCCGGAGCAGAGCTGGACAAGGAGGGGTGGGTGAGTCTCTTGGCTGCTTCCTGGGCTGTGTCCTGGGAGTTCTGCCTTGGGATCCTTGGAGTGGGAGGAGGAGAAAACAGCTCTCAGCACAGCCACGGGGCTGTGCCAGCAAGAGTCTTGTCAAAATGACTTGCCTCTGAGATGAACTTTTTCACAGACAAATCAAACAAACAACCATTTTGTGCAATCCACTGGAGAAATTCCCGTGGGTCCGTTATCCGAGTCTGGCAACGGCTCAGCCTCGCCTTTAAACAAGCTCGTGAGCAGCTGGTGTGAGCACAGGCAGGGGTGGGTCTGGAGAGGATCAGGAGCACCCCAAGAACAGCAGCTGGTCTCTGGGACAGCAGTTTGGGGTGTTGGAATGAGGAGCTGGGTCTTGGCTGTCCCGGTGCTCCCCGGCCGGTGTTTGGATCGGGATCAGGGTGGGGCCGTGGCCCGTGTTAGTGGGGCCAAACGTGGGTGGTATTAGTCAAACAAGTACATTTTGGGCTAGAAAAATTCAGGGAGGGGAGGGGAGAGAGGGAAGTGGAGCCACAGAGGCTCCCCCTTGACTTCTGAGTTTTCTGTAGCACACTAAACCCAGCAGACGTGGAGATGGTTCCCGGGAAGCTTCGCTTGCTGTCGTCATGGCACTGGGAGAGGAGCTGCAGCTCCTTGGGTTGGATGTGTGTGTGTGCTGCTCCATCCGTGCCCTGGATGGGTCTGTGTGCACGGGATGGGAGGGTTGGGATGGTTCTGGAAGGGAGCAGCTGTCTCCCACCCAGCAGGGTGAACCCAGTGTTGTGTGGTGCTCTGGAAACCATGGAAACGCTTGTGAGGTGCTGGCTATGGGAGGCACTGGGATCCCAGGGAGTTTGGGGAGTGGCTCCTGGATCTGTTGGATAAATGAACAGTCGAGTTGGCCGGGCTGTGAGGATGCTCCTCAAGGTGCCAGTTCAGCTGGAAAGGCTCCCTGTGGCTCTGGATGCTGGCAGGGACAGGGGGTGGCATAAACATCTCATTTTTGTGCAAAGGGGGAGATCTGTTGGCCGTGTGGACCTTCCCTGAGGCAGCTTCCTGTGCTCCAGAGGCTCCAGATTCCTGGCTGGAGCAGCAGCCCATCTCCCAGGACCTTTAGGAGTGGTGCCAGAGCAGAGCTCGTTAGTATTCCAGGGAAACAGCAGAACTGGGATTTGCAGCTCGCTCCTCCCTGCTCCGCAGCGTTGGGCTTGGTGTTGCCATGTTAATTGTAGCCAGAGCAGCATCTGCCACATATCAAATGCTCAAATCCCATAAATTGGTCCTGGCACAGTGGGAACAGCCTGGATCTGTCCTTCCCAGCCCCACTGTCTGCCCTGGCTCTAATTGACCTCTGGAGAGAGCAGCATATGGCCGTGACAGCCCTGGTAATGACCGAGGCCGTGGCTCTGAATGTGATCCCAGTTAAATCAGGATTCCAGGAGCCCTTTTCCTTGCTGGCCACGGAGGGAAAAAGAAGGTTTTCCTGGGTAGTTCAGCCAGGAAAATGGGGCTCGTTTCCCTGCTCTGCCACTGGCTGGTGTGGCCATGGGTGGGTCACTGAACCTTCCCATTCCTCGGTTTTTTTTAGGAGCAAGGGAAGCAGTGGCTCTGCCCACCTGGACTGGGAGATGGTTCCCATGGTCCTGGAGCTGTGCTGACAGGATGGGTGACAGGAGGGTGGCACTGACTCCTCTGCCTGTGACACAGCCAGGGCCCCTTTCCACAGGCTTCCAAGCACTTTCTCTGGGAAGGGGTGGGTTTGCTGTCACCAGGGGCTGCTTTTTTTTTTCCCCCCCTCTTAGAGCATTCCCATGTCCCCAGAGCACTGGCAGGAATTATTGACTACAAGATTCATGCTTTCCCTGGCATTGCATGGGGGGTTGTTAGCATGGATACTGATTAATCATGCTCTAATTCATGGAAAACAGGCTTTTTTTCCTCAAACCATCACCCAGTTCCTTCACTGTGTTAAGCAGCAGCAAAGTTCTGCTGCAGATGTGGGTTTGTCTCCGTGCTAAAGTGATTTTTGCCATGTGTCTTTTACCTCCTTCCCCAGAGGGATAATAAAAGTTTAACTAATGCTCACAAAGTACTTGGGGATGCCTTTGAAAGGCTTGGAGGGGGGAACAAAGTATCTTTATTTTCCCCAGCAAATTCCTGCCCTAAAGAATCCTGGAGAGTAGGCTCTGCACACTCCCATCAGCTGGATCTTGTTAGTAAACAAATTGCATTTTCCCATCAATTTACTAATGGTAATTGCCACTTTGAGGCTGCAGTCAGGTTTTTGAAACAAAATTACGCCTGGCCCGTTCGTCCCAGCAGCTGTCCCTGAATGACAGGGAATATTGATGTGCCTCTTATTGGCAAAAGGGGGTTGGCTTTTGGTGGCAAACACAAATTGCCAACCCTGAGCTCCTGACTGGTGTGGCTCAGGGATTCCAGTGACCAGGAAATAAAAGAGAGAGAGAGAGAGAGAGGGAGGAGGTGTTTGAGGAGGTGTTTTTCCAGGTGTGGGGGGCCAGGGGTGTCTTAGGCACAGCTGAACTGTGCTGGTTGAGGATGAAGGGAGTTGGGGGAGCTGGAGGAGCTGCAGGGCTGAGCTCACTGCTCTCAGGCTGCTGAAGAGGAGGGTGGGATGAAGATTTTTCCCTCCCTCATCTGCTGTTGCCCCGAGCCCCTCCTTGGTGGCATGTGCCTGCCTTTCCCTGGGATTATGTCCCTTTGATCTGCACCTCTCTCCTCCCTGGAGTGACTCTGGGCACAGGAGGCTGCCTGAATTCCTTGGGAATTGCTCCTTTGTTCTCAGGATATGGTGGAACCAGCGGAGAAATGGGAAAGCATCCCTGTCTTGGTGCTCCAGGGTAAAATAGGTCTTGGTTTTAAATCCTGGGAGCCCCCCCCCCCCCCCCCCGAGCCCGGGGTGTGTCTGAGCCCTTTGTGGGGCTCCGGGAATGTGCCATTCCCGCTGGGAAAGCTGGCCTGGGAGGGGCAGGGCTGGGGCCTTAGGTCCTTCTGCAAAGTGCAGGTGGCAAAATGCACTTGTAATGGTGCTCTCAGCCTGGGCTGGTCCCTCTCAGGGGTCTGTGCTTCTAGAAATGGAAAACTCGAGGCGTGACAGCACTGGGCAAAACCAGGCGCTCGTTTTTCGGGCGGATCCAAGGGCAGATCGGGACTAAAACTCTGGAATCCTCACAGAAACCCAGCGTTGGGCTGGGTGTGGGGGCAGATCCCTGGGCTGAAGGGCTTTGTGCTCCAAACTGCCCGTTCTTTTTGCACTTTGGTGACTTCTCAAGCCTTTGTAGGGGTGTGGGAACACCCCGGGCACAGCTGTGCCTGCAGAGGTGACACTCCAAACAGCCCCGGGGGTGTGATGTGATCCCTGCACCTGCCTCCTCCACAACAAAAAACCTCACTGCCCACCTTGTACCCGCCCCAAACATCCTGGTGCAGCCAAACTTCCTCCAGCCGGGAGACTTGTCTCTTTTTTTGGGAACAGACTTCCCAGGAGCGGAGGTTGCCCGGAGCCCCTCCCTGCTGTGCTCCTTGCCGTGACCTTGCCTCCTGTAGCATAAATACCCCGAGACACACACTCTGCTATATATAATCTGCTCTCCACGCCCCTCCCCGGGGAGAAGGCGAGAGAGCAAACATGTGCCAGGCGTTAGTCACGTTGCTCCCGGAGGCTGCTCTCAGATTCCACCGGGATAAACCCGAGCAGAGGGATCCCTCCGGAGGGGTGCTGGGTGCTGACCATCCTTTAGGCTCCCCCGTGGTTCACTTGCTGCTGGATAATCCTTTAGGGAGGGGAACTGGATGCTGAGGGTTGTGCTGTGGGAAGGGAGGGGTTTGGGATATCCCCGTTCCAGGGTGGGGGGGGGGGGGGGG